AAATCAGAAAAATCTACAGAACCAATACAAAAATGGCATCTCAAATTAACACACATCTCTCAGACAAACAAGTAAAAGTAGTAAATAAACATATGGAAAAAAGCTGAACATCACTGGTCATTACAGAGATGCAGATGAAAACAACACTGAGACTCAACCTCACCCCAGAAAGAATGGCTGCTGTCATGAAATCAACCAATAACAAAAGCTGATGGGAAAGGGAAACCTTGCTGGTGGAAGACTGTGGAAATAAGTATGGAGATATCTCAAAGAGCCAGGATTCGAGGTCCCATTTGACCCAGCTCTAACCCTGCTGGCTGTCTTCACAAAAGAATTAAAAGAATCATTTAACAGCAATATTTGTGCACCCAAATTCAGAGCAGCACAGTTTCTAAATAGATAAAACTTGGAAATACGCCAAGTGCCCATCAACTGAAGACTGGATAAAGAAAATGTGTTTTGTTTTGCTTTTTACATATTGGAATACTACTCTACCATAAAGAATGAGAAATTAGAGACATTTATAGCTAAATGCATGCACACTGAGGCAATACACTTAAGCGAAATAAACAGGAAATAAAATGTGTCATTACAGAAGTTTCTCCAGTATGTGAAACTTAGAGTGGAAGTAAGGACTAAAACGTAGAATAAATAATGTGAAGTAGGCAGAAAAGTGACAAAGGACAAAGGGAAGTGGGAGGGGCATGGGAAAGGAAAGAAGGGAATGGAGTTAATATGAGAAAATGAAAACATGGAAATAAAGTATTTTTAAATAGGGAGGAGTGGAGTGGTTGAAAGGAAGGCATAGGAGTGGGGAAAATTACAACAAATATAGATTACTTAAAGGTGCAAATTCTCAATAATGAATGTTATCATACTGAATTCCTCAAATTCCCCATGAAATTCATTACAAAACGAAGAGTAGGACCGCTGCACAATCCAGCTGTCCTACTACTGAGAACAGGTTCAAAGAAGAGAAATCAGTATGCCGAAGAGGTTCCAGTCCTTGTAGCTAGGAAATAAAACAAGCTCTGAGTCCACCGAGTGGATAAAGCCAGCATGGTGTGTGTGCTCCGTGGAAAACCAGGTATCTGTGAACCCTGTCACGTGTGACAGCGCAGCTCAGCCGGGAGTCACGATGTGAAGTAGATAAACTCGGGTAGGAAATCAGTTAGAGAATGATCTCACTGACCTAGGAAGCTAACGAAGTTAATGTCACAGAATTTGAGACTGAACAGGGCACATGAGAGGCTGCAGAGAGTAGGGAGCAGGAGGGCTGGGGTGGGTGATGAATTGTTACTCGGTCATTGTGAGGAGCAGGAAGTGCTGCACGTTAGGAAGACACAGGTGACAGTGTGCAACGTGTTCTTCACATGGGGAAGAAAGCACTGGAAGGTCCCACTGTAAAGACACAATAGAGATTTGAAGAGGCAGACTTGTTTAACTTGACTTCAACCCTACAAGAACTATACATGTGCACTTGCATCTGAGTAACTCTTTAGAAGGTAATTTATTTACATTTCCATTTATCAGATAAAATCACATTTAATTTTTAAAAATGTAACCACCTTGGTTCCTAGAGGCAGTTTCATGTCATCTTCCCTAAGAGATTGGGATGAGAAACTGACCTATTCTCAGGGGGAAATCTCCAGAGATCACAGCGTCTCATAATTGTCTCCAGGTCTCCGGCAGGACTGGAGCTGACAACAGGTGAGAAGGGACGCGGCGCTGCCTTTGCTCCTGGACGGCACTGGCCCATCGGAGAGAGTCCCTGTCAGGAGTGCAGGAGGGGTTCTGACCCGAGGACTGGCTGTGAGCCCGCGGCAGCGGCCACGAAATCCCTCAGAGGGAGTCACATGGAGGGAACTGTAGAGGCTGAGCCGTTGGAGAGGAGACTCAGAGAGCCCTTCTTGTTGACAGACGCCCTTCTGTGAGTTACGTGAGAGGAGCGATCGCATGGTGCTGTTCCACTGGCAAAGGAGGGACTCAAGGTAACTTGGAACACTGTCCCTGTGAGGGTCCTCTTGTCCATTTTCTTCCCCTGACTTAGAGATGTTGGGAAAATTAGAGCATTACTTGAGACACAGGGAGCTCCTCTCACAGGGCTTCAGCAATGTTCCCTGGATATTTTTATTTCAAAGCACTACTCTGTGCTGACTGTTGTTTCTCAGTTAACACACTGACAGGCATTTGTATTTCATAAACCTTTTGGTGAGAACTGTAATTTAAACAAAAGCTGTGTCCTAACTACACTTACAATGAATTATCTAAAAATAAAGGTGTTTTCCAAATACTTTTGAGGATGGTGAGGCAAGCCTGTGGTACAAATATCTTTTAGGTAGACATTGGTGATTCTTATAAACAATAATGTTTCTTACAATTGGGACAAAAATAAAAGCAGATGATGCTTTGAGCTATTACTAACATTGTCTTTTTCACCATATATTTCTGTTTTAATTAGAGTTTAAAAACACACACAAACCTAAGTTCAAAATAAATAGGTGGCTCTTCTTTACTTTGCAACGTTTCCTACACATATTAACATCATGCAAACTGCTTATTCCTGGAAGGTGGCTTGTGTCCTGAGTCTTTCTCCTCCTATTTATGTTACCTTGCAGCATAATATCTCAGTTCTGCACTGTAATTTTGGAGAGTCTAAGAAGTCTGCACGCAATGCAAAGATACCATTCATAGTGTATATATATCTGCCATGTACGCTTATCCTGTGTCCTGGACCCCAGTGTATGTGAAAAGTAACCATGTGTTTTACGTTTGGTGAACAGAATACCTTCCTGGGGCCGTTGCATACATGTAGCTGACCAAAGGCTTATAAAGGATGGTAAGAAATATTAACTAGTTTTGGCTTTATGTTCTCGAAAAGACTACTGCTTAAATAAAGAAATTTTAAATGCTGTTATTACACAAAAAGTGATTAAATTCAACATTTAAACAAATAAGTTGCTTCTCAAACACACTTGTAAAACTAAGCATAGCCCGTAAACTGGACAGTTTCAAAGCTTGCTCTCTGGGATTTGTTACACGGAAACAGCGGCGAATGAAAGCCTGAGCTGAAGGCAAAAGACTAATTCTCATTCGCCAATACGGTTTCCAAGAATGGGATTTCCACAAAGCCTGACCCTTGTGGATTTTCAGCAGCCACGACCACCTCCATGGAGGAGAGTGAGGTCCTGAGGCCCCGGAGAGCACAGAGAATCTCAGAGGTCCTCATGTGGGGAGGGGAAACTGGGGAGGGAAACTTCAAGTCACCTGCCACCAAAGCCTCAGTGTCACCGACCTGGGTCAAACTTCTTCACAACCATTGTTCCAACCTAATGAGAGCCCGAGAGCTGGGTCTCATCAGGATGTGCTTTACACCCATCATCTTACTGTCCTTAGTTCCTTTTCCATTCTCACAATAATGCCTGAAAGTCCATCTCCTTGCTCCGTTTATTATGCAGATCACAAATCATGTTCAGTGCAGTCCACGGAGGACTCACAATGGCTAGGAGGTAAGGGTGCAGCTGACGTGTGTCCCTCAGAGCATAAACTCTCTGCTCTGCTGTATCTGCTGATCACCTATTTTGTCACTGATGAATTTTTTATGTCGTGGTTTTTATGCTTTTGGTTAGTTTTAGCTTCAGATGAAATTAACATATAACCATTAAATCAGTTTACTATAAAAACTCAAGACTGAGTTTGAAAGAAAGGAGAAAATGAGTAATTACAAATTCAGGTAATTTCAGTCAGACTCGAACTCACTTCCAACCCTCAGCCCTCAAGCCCAGTCGGCATACGTCACGGTCCAGGGTGGGTGCAGAGCAGAGGTTGCCGTTTCACAGCTGTGCAGTGAGAATGAGCCACCCCCGCTCTTGTGATTCATAGTTCAAGTGAGAGAAACAACAAATCCAAAGCACAGCATCACTGGGGACACAGTGGTGTCCATCTGAAGTGGCCGGACGGGATTATGGTAGGAGAGCAACTTGACGGTGTCAGATTATCCTGTGCTCAGGAGGAGTGGATCTGCTCACAGATGCATCCACAGAATTCCTGGTGAAGTTACTGTAGTGAACCTTCTGTATTTCATTTTACAAATTTAAATTTTTTTAGGTGCCATACACGTTTAAAGCCTTTGAAGCTACATACAATTAATAGAATCAGCTGTGTTTACTTCCTTTCTCTTCATTACATATACTGGTACCTTTTAGTTTTACAGTACAGTTACCTACATCATGGGGATCCTGCACCTGTACATGACAGATCTTGGTTCTCATTTTTCCCCATCCCCTGCCCTCCCTTCAAACCCCTCCACCCCTCTTTATTTACAGAGACTTTGTTTCCATTTTTCCTTTTCTCATACTTTTCCTTTTCTGTACCCCTCCCTCTTCCCTCACCCCTTTAATCTTTTTCTTCCTACTTCACATTATGCATAACACATTTTGATACTTATTTATACTTTTACTTTCTCACACCAGGGAAACTCTTCAGTATTTACACATGAGTGTCCTGTTTATGTCACTTAAGTGTATGGCCTCGATGTGCATCCACTCATCCCTAAATGTATCTAGTTTCTTCTTCTTTATGGCTGAGTAATGCTCCACTTGATTAAAAAAAATTCACCTTTATCCAGTCTCTTGCTGATGTGCAATTGGGCTGTTGCCAAACTTTAGTTATTGCAAGCAGTGGCACTGTAAATATGGGTGTGCATGTACATCCCTGCGGTATGCTTCTTTTCATTTTGTAGGGGAAAAAATCTCCGCAGGGAAATAGCTGGATAAAAAGGGGCCTCTAAAGAAAATAATTCTGGCAAATCTTCATTTAAAAATTCATCTAAGATTTCAAAATCTATAGGGTACTTGGACTTTCCGATTTCAGTTCAGTTTTTCATGTTCCTGTATCTTCCCCTCTCACTGCTGCAGCTCCTGTAGAGGTTCTGGACAGCACTGATGGAGAACAGGACAGAGGTGACCGAGTTCCTCTTGCTGGGACTCACCGATGACCCACACCTGCGGCTTCCCCTCTTCATCACCTTCCTCCTCATCTACACCCTCACCATGGCTGGGAACCTGGGGATGCTCCTGCTGATCCTCCTGGACCCTCGTCTGCACACCCCCATGTACTGTTTCCTGGGTAACTTGTCCCTTGTGGATTTCTGTTACTCCTCAGTTGTGACTCCCTCAGTCATGGCTGGGCTTCTTACAGGGAACAAGGTCATTTCCTACAATGCCTGTGCTGCCTCATCTACACCCTCACCATGGCTGGGAACCTGGGGATGCTCCTGCTGATCCTCCTGGACCCTCGTCTGCACACCCCCATGTACTGTTTCCTGGGTAACTTGTCCCTGGTAGATTTCTGTTACTCCTCAGTTGTGACTCCCTCAGTCATGGCTGGGCTTCTTACAGGGAACAAGGTCATTTCCTACAATGCCTGTGCTGCTCAGATGTTCCTCTTTACAACCCTCTCAACTGGTCTCGTCATGGGCTGCTATGTCCTTGGTTTCCTGAATGCCTGCATCCACACTGGGGAAGCCTTCAGTCAGTCCTTTTGCAGCTCCAACATGATCCACCATTTTTTCTGTGATGTTCCACCAGTCATGGCTCTGTCCTGCTCTGACAAACAGGTTACTGAGCTGGTCCTTGTTTATGATGTGAGTTTCCATATTTTGTTTGCAATCCTGGTTATTACAACGTCCTACGTCTTCATTTTTGGCACCATCCTAAGGATGCGCTCCCCTGCAGGACATCTCAAGGCTCTGTCCACCTGTGCCTCCCACTTCACTGCCGTCTCCATCTTCTATGGGACCACAATGTTCATGTACCTGCAGCCCAGCTCCAGTCACTCCATGGACACTGCCAAAATCGCCTCTGTGTTCTATACCATGGTGATCCCCATGCTGAATCCTATGGTCTACAGCCTGAGGAACAAGGAGGTCAAGAGTGCATTCTTAAAAGTCAAGCATGCACTGATTTATGGGAGGCCTAGTAGGGTGTAGGAGTTTGATTATAACTTTGTGAGATGAACCATTTCTAGGTTTCTTTCTTTCAGATTTTCTCCACACAGTGGCTTACAATTTGAGACCCATGTTCAGTTAAGTTATTGTAATGACAGTCTGGCTTACATAAAAAATCTTGTGCCATGAAAAAAGCTACTGCATCCAGAAATAAATAAAGAGTGAAAATGCTTAAAATATCCATATATGTCCTGCGTAAAACATCTACAAGGATATTGATGTACGCATGTGTCACACAGGTGTTCTTTTTTAGATTTTTGTCAATAGAAATGTGTGTACAATGGGCTCAAAGGTGCCCATATATAGCAGGAATGTCCATGGGGGTCTCACGATAACAAGCAGAAGTGGACGTAATAGGTCTCATCAGACTCAAATGTAATGTGTTATTGGTCGCAGTTAATGTTATGTCTTGATTTTGCTGAATAATGAGATACTCCAGGTACCAAGAAAAATTTTTAACATTTTCTGTGTGATCATGAGTGTTTGCAGAGTCTGGTATTTGAAGTAGAGGATTAGTAAGGAAGATCTGTCCTCTTTATTGAGGGAAATAGCATGATAAGTGAAAAGAGAGCAAGCCCCCCCCACCGTGTGTGTGTGTGTGTGTGTGTGTGTGTGTGTGTGTGTGTCCTTTAGAACATTTCCCTTATGAAACTCCTAGACATCAGTTAACACCCTGACCCTCTTCTTGGTCTCCAGTCCCCCACACTCACACCAGGCCCCGCCCCTTCCTGTCAGACCCAGTGAGCCCCTGCCAGCCTTGTCTTAGGACAGCTGAGGGAACTTCCGGGACTCTACCACCTCCTGTCATACACCGCAGCGCCCCCAAACATGTCTCCTCCATGTCTTTACCTGCTCTGCTGATTTTGATTTAGTTGAGAACCACAAATAAAACGTTACTGTTTAAGAACTCTAGCTTGATTCTTGATTTAGGTAAGAGTATATAATTTAGGCAAAGATTGCTTCAGTTTTTCATAATATTCTTAGAGTGTTAATTTGACAAAATGTGTTATAGATTCACAAAGAAAGGCTTCAACTTGGAATTTAGGGAGCAAGGAGTAAATTTTACATCTGAGGTGAATGAATATTTTTATGTCATCATCCTGCACATTCAACACGATCATATTTTCAAAAGAAAATAGAGCAAGAAAATACAGCCATCTTTTTAATATATTCATGTATCAGTGTACATTCAGACTAAAAATTAAACCTACAACCCAATAATATTGCACACTTTTCCTGCTATAAGTTCTTCAAGCTGTAATGTTTGCCCTCTACTTATTTAATTCTCCCTTGCACTCTCCTTTATTTCCCCTCTTCTATTCCACGGATTTTCTTGCCATTTCTTCACATCAACCAAGTTCATGCCACAGGCCCTTTGCTCTTGCTGTCCCCACTTGGATGCTCTCTCTCCGTTCAGGACCCTGACTCAATGGACTCTGCCCTGGAGCCCTTCCCTGACCACCTTCTTCAGCTTCTCAGTCTTCTGTCATCAAGCACACTGTCCCCTCCTCCTCAGTCACTCTCTTCGGGTGTTATCAACCCTTGTAAGACTTTTTAGGTGAAGCAATCCAGATACACAGAACAGATATTTAAGCATAACCTTTTCCTCTACCAAGAATGGACTAACAAGCTCAGGAAACACAGAACCCACATGCCTTGGCTCACAGATCCACTCAGAAGTGCCACTGGACCAGGCAGAACCTAGAGGTGATGGGGCACAGCTTTGTTCTGCAGAAACATGAGCTGAAACTCTGCCTGTCCTTGCAGTTGTGACATCAAGAAACAACCAGGTTTAGCGTCAGCCTGGGCGTGCAAGGGACTGCCTGCACCAACACCGCCTTTACTCAGAGTGTAAAGCCAGACTCCATTCCCTGGCAGCAGATTAGGCTCATGCTGCGGTTTGTGTCTGGATGTCCCCCAAAGCCTCCTGTGCTCGTGGGCTTTTTCAGAGGTGACTTGATCTAGTGTGTGAAGCTCGAATTGGGCTCAAGGACAATAGGCTGAAGGGTGGAGTGCTACCTACCCTATGGAGTCTGGATAAGATAAAAGGGGCAGAAAGGTGCTGTTAAATTCTTTGGTGATTTGCTCTCTTCTGCCTTCAGAACTGTTGCCCCTCCTTTATGTGCCATCCTGCCTTGGAGCCATCCAGTTATGGACTGAAACCTCTAAAACTGTGAGCTAAATAAACCTTTCTTCCTTTAGCTTTGGATGTTGCCTAATTTATCTCAGCAACAAGAGCAAGGTAAGGAAGATAGATTGTAAGCTCAGAACTTTGAAATGAATTAAACAACTGGCTTGGGAAAACGTGTAATATGCTGATGTGAAACACAGCATCTGGAGGCCTGTCTGTGGCCACAAGATCTGAAGGAGCACAGTGCTGTAAGACCTGTGGCCCAAACCTCTCAGCCATCAGTTCCAGCCAGTACCACCGGGGGCTGTTAGCATCAGTCTCGGACTGAAGTCCAGCTCAACGACACAGCGTGAACCTCTGTTCTGTATCAGTGCAGTGTTCATTTTACCAGACTGTGGTTTTGAGTGGACCTGAGAACTGGAATGGGGGTAGCCAAGAGTTTGGCCTGAATGCATAAGTTTATGGTGATTCTTCTAGGACCTAGGTAGAACCCTGAACTGCCTTAACACAAGGAGCTGTTGAGTGTGGACAGGGTTTTTGCACCTACCTTACAGTTACTGAAAGCCTTGTCAACATGGGCTATGCTTTCTAGGCAGTCCCTTCACAATGCTAAAAATCACATCAAAATGTGAGTTGGGAAAAGTCTGTGCTTGGCTTACCTTATAGTTCTGAAACAGTGACAGCACACCAACAACAAACCTCTGTCAGAACTGAACTTGGACATTGTCCAGTGCTGAAATGTGGGAAATGATACAGGCTCCAAGAGAACAAGCAGCTTAGAACCTCTAGACAGACAGGGCACAACTCAAATCAGATTTGGAAGCTTACAATAAATACTCCATCAGTGACCATATATTCCTCAAATTGAAAGAGACACCAATGAATCAGTAAAAAATATGAGATAAATTCCCTGACATTAGTACTAATAGAGACAATTTCAAAATGCTTTAATATTGCAAACGTTATAAATATTGCTCATATCTATAGCAGAAATTTTGGAAAAAAAAATAATGCTAACTACATTACTGTGTTACAAGATGGACAACACTGAAAGAGGTAACTTGGGATACCAAGAATATAAGATAGGAAAGAATGGAGTGCTAGTGTAGAGCTTTCTCATCCACACTTTTCTGAAGTTCTATTCTGTTCCAAGCTTTAACAATAATTTCAAGTGCTATCATTTCAAAAAACTTGCTATAAGTAAAAGATGGTTTTGTATCTTTGCAGTATGTACAACTAAAAAGTTCATAATACACAAATATATAAAAAGCAAAAAGTCAAAACACACATTTATTATGTAGCTATAATAAGTCATTAAACCACTGGGAAATAAAGAAAGGAGAGAAAACAAGTTACAAAATGGCTGGAGTAATATACGCCCTGTCAATAACTAACTTGAATGTAAGTAGAATAAATTTTTCAAATAAAAAAAAGCAAATGAGTGGATTTTTTTAAGAGGACCCAACCACATATTGTTAACCTGAAACTCACTTCAATCTAAAGACCACACGCACACTGATAGACACGCTTTGCAAATAGAATGCAGAACACCTGGAGAGCCATACTCATGTCAGTTAAAACAGACCAACACTACCTTGATACCAACATGAAATAAGGGTACACACATAAGTGAAGCATAGTTTGATATCCTTGAGGACGTAGCTGCAAAATTTCTCAGCAAAATTCTACAAGCACATTAGAGAGTGTATTCAGGAAGACAAAGTGAGATTTATGCCAGAGATGAAAGGATTATTGCTCAGCACATGCAAATTAATAACCCATACACCATTTCAACAAAACAAAAGAAAAACAACTGAATGACAGAGTTGGGCAGAGAGAGAGGGAGGGACACAGAGGCAGGGAGAGAAGGACAGAGAGAGAGAGAAAGGGAGAAAGAGACTTAAATCTTCAGAAACAAATGAACTATTGGCAGTGATACATTATTTCAGCAAAACTACAGGATGAAAACCTGGCATATAAATAAAAAAATAACATTGGCTTATTCCAATATCAAATTTTCTGAAATAGGAGCCAAGAATGCAATTTCAATCAGTGTATTTGCAAAAAGTACTTTTCCATGCCAAAAAAAAACAAAAACAAAAACAAAACAAAAAAACACCAGATTGAAGATCTGGAGAAAAACAGGAAATATCTGAGAACTATACTATTTAATATGAATTAATCTCTGGAATATACAAGGACTTTAAAACAGTCAATAATGAAGAACCATTCTGAAACCAGGAATTGGTATGCCAGTGAGCAGCAAAGTGAAGGCAATTTGGTGGATGGCTGAGATGTGAAAATGGGTAAGCAAAGGTTATCTCAACAAAGGCACACAGGGTGCAACTGTCCATAGAGTGATTAATATTGAAATGTTTCAGAATTAAGACTTTGATCATCTGAGGACCATCATGGCCTTGCCACAGGGATGCATGTGAACATTCTGCACTGTCTGAAAGTTTTGTGACTCAAAAAGATTCTAAGGTCGTGGATGTAGCTCAGCAGTACAGCGCCTGCCTGGCGAGCATGAGGCCCTTGAGTTTAATTCTCGGGACAAAAAACAATAAAGTAATAGTTAAAAATAATAAAAAAGATTCTAAAATTCAGTACCTATTAACATAAGAATTAGGAATGATTCCAAGAGAACAGTCACCACTGGCTGAAGAGAGAATATGAACCAATTATGCAAGGGCACACTTAAGTGTACTTAGGTTTTATAAATGACTGAGCTCTTTTAAGATCCAAATGCAAGATAAAAGATTGCACTTTTGAGTTTTTGAGTTTGCAACTTAATGATTTAGCAAATTCCTTTCTCAAAATAAAAAAAATTAAGCAAGAGTTGGTTGGTTGTCCATTTAGCTTGATGGGAAGGTCCCAGGTTCAATCCCTAGACTGCACAATAGATTAATTTAATTAGCTCTTGTGATTATGGCCTTGAGAAATCCAAATCTTCAAGTGTCCTGCACACTCAGGGTCTGGAGAACCAAGGCTATCCTGGCTTGTGTAATTCTATAATGAAACAGATGCTTCAAAATCATGCAAAAAAACCTGTTACTATAGAGTGACAACCTAACTCTCCCTGTTATTATTATCACAAAGTAGATCTTTATATAACTTGTTTCCATTAAATTGGTTTATTATGCAATTTTTATTTATTTGTAAAACTACGAATAGCAGAAGTTGTTAATCTAAACAATAACATTGTTTTATATTTTTATGTTGTTACCTTTACTAGTTTTTGTTTCTTTTAATATTAAATTTTTATTTTATTTCAAGTTGAAAGTTAATAGTTCCATGTGTTTATGATGATCACAGGTCTTGAACAACCTTTTGGAGTCTATCACTTATGGGGAATATTTTCACTTTTCTTGCAGCACAGTTCTGCCAGTAACTGACCCTCTAATTTCATTTATCTCAGAAACTCTCATGACCTCCATCTTTCTTGAAGAATAGTTCTGCTAAACACAGTTATTTGACAGGTTTTTGTTTTTTAGTGATATTTTCTTAACCATACTCTCTTCTGGACTCCTTGGTGTCCAAGAGAAAACCATTGTGAACCTGACTCAGAATGTTCCTTGTGTCTCTAGGAGGAAACATGCTACTTATGTCTTGTCTTTTTATGATATTTTCTTTGATGGTGAACAGTTTAAATACAATTTGTGTGTGGATCTCTTTATATTTATATTCTTGAGATTTGCAAACTTTTAGGAGGGGTAAGGCCATGTCCTTTAGCAAATTTGAATTTATGGACTTATTATTAAATTGTTCTTTATTCCTTTTTGTACCCAACTGCTCCTTCCGGAACTCCAATTATACATCTGTGGGTGTACTTTTAGGTATGCAAGAAGGTTTTAGGCTCCATAAGGGACTACATCCTTCTTTTTGCTTCTCTCCTTATAGAGAATTGCAGGAATAGGCTTATGATCAAATTCACTGACACATTAGGCACTGGGGATTTAGCTCAGCAGTTTGGTGGCCTGCCTTGCAAGCACAAGGACCTGAGTTCAATCCCCAGTACCAAAAAAAAAAAAAAAATTTCACTGACACATTCTTCTCCCTCTAAAATCCCATTTTCAAATAGATCATCTTAAAATTTCTCAAAATTTTTGCTTAAAATGATGTCTCATTCAGTGACATATGGCTTCAAATAAATACTAAGTGATAATCCATAAAGACATGTTAAATATCAAATAAGGAAACCATCCCTGGTTATTTTGAGCAATTACTACATGCACAAAATTATACAGTTAACTGAAATGATTCTAGATGTCTGTGTAGAAATAATATAATTAAAAATGAGTAGTGATGCTACACAGACACGGCAAGACCAACTGAAAAATGTTCAACTACTAATCTCTGGGGAAGTGCCAATGAAAGCCACATTGAACTACTCCAGGAAAATAAATGGCTTTATAGAATATACTAACATTAAACAGGGCTGGCAAGGATGGGGAGAAGAGGGAAGCTCTGCACGGTGTTGGTGGAATGGAAATGAGGTCAGCATTGTGGAAATCTGGGAGGCTTTTCTTCAAAAATGAAGAACAGAACTACAACTTGATCAGTGTAAATGCACAGGACATGAACATCGTACGCCCCTGAGGCTCCATGCTCCTTGCCCTAAGAAGTGGAAACAATCTCAGGATCCAACAGCTGGTGAGTGGTTAAAAGAAAAAGTGGAACCTGTAAAGCAAGGAACCCTCTTCAGCCACAAAAAGAATGAAATCCAGTCACTGGGACAACATGAGTGTCACCAGACGTCACTGTGTTAAAGTAAATGAGCCAGATCAGAGCGGCAAGTACTGAACCCGCCCCCCTCGTTTGTGGAATCTAAGAAACTGATGTCAGAAGAAGGGAGGTAAGCAGTGGTTACCAGAGACAGGAGAGTACAGGTAGGAGATGTGCAAGAAATGATGAGCAATGGTTACTAGATTATTTCTAGGAGCAGGATGCTCTGGAAGGCTGTGAAGAGGAGAACTATGGTCGCCATTTTGTGAGAGGTGTGAAGATGTTGGATGGGCAGAATGTAAGCACACACTTGAAGAACGGAGAGCATGGGCCTTCCAGAGAGACGTCAAGTACCGTCTGGAGCTGGGATATTGATGCGTTTTGGGGGTGCACATCAGTAAAATTTGTAAATATACCAAAAATGTCGACTTGGTTCACAGAAGAAACATCAATGGCCCACCTCAGGAAGGAAGATCGTGGCTTGGTTTGCAGGACGAAAGATGGCCCATTGTATAGCAGAAAGGTCAGGGCCCAGCCCACTGTATTGTGATGGGTTATATGATAACAATTACCGACTGTATAATTCCAAAATAAGATGACAGAATTTTGAAAGACTTCATTGTAATGAAGTGAGAAATATTTTAGGAAGCAGACTTTTCTAAAGTGATTTAAACTTACAGCATGTATACTTGCATAGACACATTTCAGGGTAACTCATTCACGTGTAAAATGTTTATTTTCCATTTTCATTTGTCAGCTAAAATACATTTAATTTTTAAAATACAATAACTGTCTCAGTCCCCTTAGGCAGTTTAATGATCTCTTCCCTAAGAGAGTGAGAAAAGAACCCACAGCTATTCTTAGGAGAATTCCCTGGACAGCGCAGGTCTTTGTAATTATCTCCAGGCTTCATCGCGTGAGTGTCTGGGATCCCAACAGAACACAAGGCGACGCCTTTCCAGGAGGACGCTGTACATTTCACGATCCCCTAGGCATCATTTCTCCACCTGAATGAGAGGCACTGTCACTTCCCGCAAGCCATCTTCTAACCCGAGGATTCACTGTGAGGTGGGATCCAAGGTCAGGGAAAACACTCGAAGCTAGACATGCCCTTGATGGACTTTTAGGTAATAACTCTTTTGAGAGAAGGCTGACAGACCTTGTGTTGTTTAGACGCATTTCTGAGGCTTACGTGAGAGAAGGAACCTCTTATTTTATATGTAAGGAAAGGGAAAGTGGTTCTTCCAATGGCCCAGAAAGCTTCCATGGCAGATTGGAACTTGATTCACATTAATATCTTCGTCTCAATTTCCCTTCCCTGCCTCAGAGAAGAGGGAGCATTCTGACCATTGCCGGAGAGCGGGGGTCTCCTCTAAGATCAAGTCTCCATGGAAGTTTTTATGATTTCATAACTGCTATTCTGGATTGACTCTTCTTTCTCTTCTAGAAAACTGGTAAGCTCCTATAGTCCATAAACATGTTCATCAGAAATGTAATTTATGGGAAGCAGTGGCCTAATTATAGTTGTTATGAGTTGCTGAAAACTAGGGATGTTTTCCAAAAAATTAAACTGTGAGGTGAACCTGGGGCACAAATATCAAGATCTTTATCAAAGGCATTTTGTGATTCATGACAGAACATACTTCTTAACCTCCTCCAAAATGAATAAAGATGATGCTTTCAGTGATTAGTGACATCTTTTTCCTTTATGTATTTCCAAACACAGACACAAACAAATGTAATTCTTATTTAAAATACAAAATGGTTTAAATGACTTCTCTAAGCCTGAGTTGCTGATTCCTGGAAGACAGTTTTAATTCTTGGAACTTGAATTTTTCCCACAAGCTCTCAATTCTTTAGTTTCTTTGTGGATAAAGTACAAGTGTCACCTCTACACATGCCTTTACTAAGTAAAGTGCTTTTCCTTAATTGTAGAATATAGAATTTGTTAAAATAACCGTATGTTGTTATCACTAATCTTGTCTCTTGTTTATGACATATAATGTTTACGTTCATTGTGGTTATCATAAAAATGGGGAAAGGGAATTTAGAGCTGGAGGAAAGGAGCTAGAAAAGGATGGAGATTAGACACAAAGAGCCAAACTGCATTGTGTATGACATGTACCCACTCCCTAAGACGATGGTAAACTGCATATACTGCAAACATGTACTAAAAAAAACATTTTAGACTAAAAAATAATTGGGTGCATTCAGATTGGTGAGTATGGTACTTTCATGGGACTGGTTCTTAAAATACAGTTGCTAAACTTTTAGGGGAAAAAAGGTAGTAGGAAATAACAGTTATATGTGGATGTAGATAATTCCAAAGACTGCAATTTTCAAAATATATTTTAAATATTGTGCAAGATCGGGTTCAAACAAAATATTATAAAATATTCAAAATCTGCATCAGCCAAATCATATCCATGAGGAAAAGGTAGCCCACAGGGCAAAGCGTTTCAACATTTTATCTCTGTGATTTTGCTATATATTAATAATAGTGAATGAAAGTGTGAGGTTAAGAAAGACGGGGTCACTTTCACAACTAAAGCATGGATTTCTAGAAAGCAGTGCTGCAAAACAAGGTCCCTCATGAAGTTTCAGGCGCAACTTTACTTGGAGTAAAGGGAGACTGAGAAGAACAGGGGAGCCAGAGACTCCAAAGGTCCAACTGAGGGAGACAAATTAAATAGGGGAGAAACTTCTAGAATTCAAACTCACCTGCAGTGAGAAACCTGTATGTGACTATCTATCTCAGTCGAACCTGTATGAAGCCCACTCCTCCTAAAGATAAGATTGTCAGTAGCGCTCACCATGATGTGCTAATACTTATCCATTAGTGCCTTTTGTTTTATGTATTGTCCTACAATTTTCATGCTAATATATAAAAGTTGATCTCACTTCCATATGCATTTTGCAGATGAAGATATGTACGCTGTCATTGGTGCAGGATGTGCGATTACTAGTTGGTAAATAAATGTCAGGTCTGGTAAGTGCCCTCCCAAGGCCATAAACTCTCTGGAGCAGTAGATCTATTCCTATGCCGTCCTTCAGAATTCCTTTGCCGATGAGCATACCCCTACGCCCCTGGTTTTCTCACCACATGGCTGACGTGGGGAAATGGTTGACAAATATGAGATGGGGAATTTCCCAGTGCGGTTCAGAGCTTATTAGCTCTTTAACATGTCTTTCTTCATGGATGGAGGGATCATTTCACATTGTTCTTTCTGAGTTTTCCCTCCAATGAGAGGCAAATGTACAGGTAAGAAGATGAAATTACCATATAATCAAGGGGTCATCTCATTCACTATGAAGCCACAAACAATGAATTTGAAAGGATGGGACAAGGAATAATTGTACCTTCAGTTAAATTTTACTTTATCTGCTCTCACCTGAGACCCTTGGACTTGGGAGCCACTCCACAGAGGCTAAAGTTCTCCCTGGGCACAGAGTGGAGATGGCCATTTCGCACTTGTGCAAACAAGTGCATCGCCATCCCTCTGTGACCCACACTTACATGAATGGCAGGGGAGCAAGCTCAAAATACTGCTGACGGGAGGTAGGAACACAGGTCTGTCCAGTGGGCAGCAGTTCTCCCTGGGTAGGAATGTGAAAGTCAGGGTTTTTCGTATTCGGAAGAGGTGTGTGGTCCAATAGGTACCTCTGCTCACTTAACTTCAGATAATTGAATTGTTCACATCTCCGTTTATGAATTTACATATTGACAAATCACCCACATGATCCACTGCATTTCTTCTGATTGGACAGCATTTAATTCTACCTGCAGTTACTGGGAATCAATTTGGTTTGCAAGAACAAGGATTTGGGGGAATTATTCAAGTAAATGTTATTGTCAAAATGAGAGAAAACTTACTGAACTTATGTTCTGCAGTCTGAATTTAATTTCTTTGTTTTTTTAATTTTTAACTTTGATATTTACTTCATGCATGTGAACTTTTTAAAAATTCATTTAGTGTATTGTACATTACAGGTATACACTATGGTGACATTCATCATTGGGGATTTGCACCTTCACATAAAATATCTTATATTAGGGAGGTCAGGGGAATGGGGAAAAATAAGAACCAAGATATTTCACATAAAGGTACAAGATCCCAAGGATGAATGAAACTGTACTGTATACCTAAAAAGTACCAATAAACTTAATGAAAATATATATATATATATATATCTTCATTCCTATTTTTCCCTGTTACACTGCCCTATCTTCCACCCCTCCTCCCCTTCTTATTTATAAAGACTGCTTCTGTATACTCCTTTTTTCATATTTATTCCTCTCCCTTCCCCTATACCTTCCACTTCCTCTTCCTCTTTGGAATTTATCTTCCTTTTTCACATTATTTATTCTACATTTTGATCCTTTTTTACACTTTCAGTTTCACACACCAGAGAAACTTTTATATTCACACATGTATGTCCTATTTATTTCACTTAAGAATATGGCCTTAAGGTGGATCCATAAATGCTAGGATTAGAGGTTCTATTTGACCCAGATATTCCCCTCCTGAGTATCTTCCCAAAATAATTAAAAGAATCACACCACAATGATATATGTGCACCCATATTTATAGCAGCAACACTTGAAGAGCAAACACTTGGAAATAACCCACTTATCCATCATCTGGTAACTAGGTAATGCTACAGATTTTTTACAAATTGGAGAAGTACTCAGCATAAAGAATGAGAAACTAGAGACATTTATAGCTAAACAGATGCACCTTGAGGCCATACTCTTAAGTAAATTTCTCTGTTTTTCTATTACTCTTTCGCATTGCTACACTGAATCTACAGGTTCTGGAGAGTACTGATGGACAACAGGACAGAGGTGACTGAGTTCCTCCTGCTGGGACTGACCGATGACCCACACCTGCAGCTTCCCCTCTTCATCATGTTCCTCCTCATCTATACCATCACCGTGGCTGGGAACCTGGGGATGCTCCTAGTGATCCACTTGGACCCTCATCTGCACACTCCCATGTACTTTTTCCTCAGTAACATGTCTCTGGTGGACTTTTGCTCCTCCTCAGTTGTCACTCCCATGGTCATGAAAGGGCTCCTTACAGGAAACAAGGTCATTTCCTACAATGCTTGTGCTGCTCAGATGTTCCTATTTGCAGCCCTCATTGGTGTGGAAAACTATCTCTTGACTGCCATGGCCTATGACCGCTATGCAGCAGTGTGCAAGCCCCTGCACTACACCACCACCATGAGGAGCAGTGTGTGTGCAGGTCTCATCCTCGGCTGCTATCTCGGTGGTTTACTGAATGCCTGCATCCACACTGGGGAAACCTTCAGCCTCTCCTTTTGTAATTTCAATGTGATCCACCACTTTTTCTGTGATATTCCACCTGTCATGGCACTCTCCTGCTCTGATAAATATTTTAATGAACGGGTTCTTTTTTATGCTGTTAGTGTCCCTGTTTTCTTTGCCATCCTAGTGATCTGGATATCTTACTTCTTCATTTTTACCTCCATCTTGAAGATGCACTCAGCTGCAGGACATCGTAAGGCTCTGTCCACCTGTGCCTCCCACCTCACTGCCGTCTCCATCTTCTACGGCACAGCCATGTTCATGTACCTGCAGCCCAGCTCCAGTCACTCCATGGACACTGATAAAATTGCCTCTGTGTTCTACACCATCGTGATCCCCATGCTGAATCCACTGGTCTACAGCCTGAGGAACAAGGAGGTCAAGAGTGCATTCTTAAAGGTCAAGAGCGCGGTCACACAAAGACAAAATAAAGTATAGGATTTTAATTTTAAATTTGTGAGATGAACAATTTTTGGATTCATTGCTTTCTAATCCCCATAGAACTCTCAGGCACATTTTTTTCTTTTTATTGAGTTTATTGGTACATTCTAGGTATACAGTACAGTTACGTTCATTTTTGGGATCTTGTACTTTTACACGACAGGTCTTGGTTCTCATTTTTTTCCCCTTATCACTGCCCTCCCTTCACTCCCTCCTCTCCCCATTTACAAACACTTTATTTCCATTTCTTCATTTTCTAATATTTTTTCTTTTCCCTTATTCCCTTTCCCCTACCCTTCCCACTTTCCCTACACGTTTAGCCCTTTCCTTCCTATTTCATGTTGTTAATTACCCCATTAGGATCTTGTGTACTATTATAGTTTTTCACACCAGAGAACACTTTAATGCCATGTTGAAATTAAATTACTGAAGTCATACTCTCACCTGTGCAAAACTCTTCTCACACACAAAAAAATACTTGTTGGGGCCACCAGATCTAGTAAGGAGACAAGGACCCTGGAGGAGGTCTCTCCAGCCACCTGCTCAGGCCCACCCAGTGGGTCCATGACCCCTCCGACTGTGCACTGCCAGATCCAGTAAGGAAGGTAGCCATGAGGGGGCCCTTGAAACACCCCCACGACCTGCTCCCCCCACCCCGTTCTCAAACCTCCTGATTGGGCCAGTCCTTGGACCCACTTTGCAGAGACATAAGTGGGCATGAAGGGTATTTTTCTGAGCTCCCAACTTTGAACATCTTTAAAGAAAGAGCAGGGGAAACCTATAATAGAGCTAAGTGGAATTCAACCCTGTGGGTTGGAAAACTCAATTTAGGCCTTGTGGACTGAGGTCAGTCTGAGTCACAGGGACCTGCCATTGGCTAGCTGAGATCAGGGGATTCGGTTCTGCACATGGCTGTACACGTGGTATAATATGACAACAGAGACATAGTCTAAAAGAGGCCCTTCAAATTTTTTTTCTTTTCCTCATTCCACCCTAAAATTGCTTTCTTTTTTCTGTCCTCTCTCTCCAACTCAGTCTCTTGCTCCAACATATTAACCCTCATCTCCCTTTTTATTCCTGCTCCTTTCCTAATTCAGACTTCTTCTTTTATTATTTTTTCTTTATGTTCTTTTCTCCTGACAGTTTACCTCACTCATGGCTCCATAGCTTCAAGGGAAGGTGAGCCCATTACTGTTAAGAGGAAATATTCTTGTCCTTATTCCTGCACTCTGTTTATCCCCTTTGAACTTAATAGTTTTGTAAAGATAGTATGGTCATTCTACATCCTCTGGCTTCACTTCAAACCTTCTCCAATTCTTTCACTTATCTACTCCTCTCATCCTAACTCAATCTAACCCCTCATCCTAAATGGTAATGATGCTATATTGAAAAGCGTATTCACTGCAAACATATTATGGGCTGCTTCTGATATTAATCTAATTCACATGGTTTAAAGGTGATAGATCAATGACTTCCACTAGTGGTCAATTTGCAAGCTGTGCTTGATCCTATTGGGCTGCTGAATGTATCAATTGGGATAAAGGATTGTGATTGATTTAATGAGTGGTTTTCTCCAATATTATGAAAATGTGGATGTCTATGAGTCATTAGAGACTCTAAAGGTAAAACGCAACTATATCAGGAAGATTTAAGTAATAACCCAGAAATTAAACCGAGGACAACTCAACAACAAAAATAAAAATGAGAAAACACTTTAGCAAGACACAAAGATAGACTTCCAGTTCACCAATGGCAAACAGCAGGGCAATTGAGGATGAAAAATCTCACAGTGAAGCAGCAGGACACTCTGGACCCATAGCACAGAAGGTAGCAAAACAGATCAATCAGACTCTAGAAAAATTCAAATCAAAAATAATTTCCCAGGTAACCATAGAGATGATGAGCAAAATGGAAGTCATGATTCAAGACTCTAGAACAGAAACTGACAAAAAAATAGATGAGCTCAAGACCGTGATAGAAGCCATGAAGACTCAGCATAAGAAAGAAATGGAAACAATGAATGTCAAACAGAGGAAAGAAATGGAATCCATAAAACAGATTCAAACAGATATTCAGGAGATTCAACACTCCATTGAAAGTGTATGCGACAGAATAAAAGATTGTGAAGATAGAATTTCAGATATAGAAGATATGATCGCAGTCAGTGACCGTGAAAAAGAGATCTCTCAAAAACAGTAAGGGATCATGAGAAATCGATCCAACAACTTCTAGACGATGCAAAGAAAAATAACATAAGACTGATAGGAATCCATGAAGTAGCGGGAGAAAACACAAATGACTTTAAAAAGCGCTTCACAGAATTAATGACAGAAAACTTCCCAAACAGAGGGGAAGAATTTGACATTCAGATAAGTGAGGCATATAGAACCCCAACTAGCCATGATCAAAAAAAAATCTACACCTAGATATATAATAATCAAGATCCCAGAAACCCAACAGAAGATCAAAATACTACAAGCAGTAAGAGAAAAGAAACAAATCACATATAAAGGAAAGCCCATCAGAATCACAGCAGACTTTTCAACACAAACCCTTAGGGGAAGGAGAGGCTGGAGTGAGACATTTCAAGTACTAAAAGAGAACAACCTCCAACCTAGACTGATATATCCTGCAAAACTCTCTTTCAAAATGAATGGGGAAATAAGATACTTTCAAGACAAAGAACACCTGAGAAACTATACAAATACCAAACCAGCACTACAAGCAATTCTAAGCAATACCATAGAAAAAGACAATGAAGGCAACAACACCATGAGGCCCAACAGAGCACATCAAATAGGCAAGGCAAGAAACTAAAAGGAGAAGGTGAAAAAGTAAAAAGAGTCAACAAAACGCCAATAACAGGACAATAATAAGTCAGTACATATCAGTTATAACCATCAATGTCAATGGCCTCAACTAACCAATCAAGAGAAATAGACTGGCAGAATGGAATAAGAAGCAAACTCCAACAATATGTTGTATACAGGAAACACACCTAGTGCAAAAAGAAGCCCATAGACTGAAAGTGAAAGGATGGAAAATAATTCTCCATGTGACAGGAACCCAGAAAAAAGGCAGGGGTAGCAAGCTTACTTGCAGACAAAGTCAATTTCAAACCAAAACTGATTCTAGTAATATAGATGTAGGACAGTGCTGCGTCATACCTCTGTGAATGTAAAATATCTTGTACCTGCTTTATGATACATAGTAGTGACCATGCTTTATCAGAGCTACTTTTAATGATGTCACTCTAGAATGCTCTCTCTCCAGATGATGATTAAGATGCTAATAAAAAATGGTGCCAGGTACCACAAGAGCAACAGAACTTTGCTGTTTTCTGGGTATTATTGTTCTCTTGGTTTTGTTTTTCTTTTTTAATGAAGTGTGCTGAATGTCTATAATTTTGTTCAGGTGACTGCAGAACCTAGAAAAGCTGTTGCTGCTTTGATGCATAACATACTGCTATTATTGGTCTTTTTATATAAATATAAATATATATATACATATATTTTTTTTG